CTTGAACTCCCCTCTATATTACTCGAAGATGTGGTACTTGAAATATAGTCTTCGTTATCTTTCTGCTCCAGTCTCTTCCTCTTTGCTCTGTTCACTGTTTCTAGTATAGTCATAAGCATTACTCGTGTAACACAATTTTCTAAAATTGAAGTCATTTTTCTGTTTGGAAATGCAGTTGGCAACCACTTTAGGTACATTTTTCTTTTTAACACTAAGGTTCATCTTTCTTTTGTAAAGACTTATTAAATCTATACCATCATATCTGCATTCTTCCGATGGTCTTCAGTTGGGCAGCTTGTCCTTTGTTTGTATACCTTAGATTTCTGACTCGCTCTTGCTTCTTGCTTTGTTTGCTCAAGGGATGTTCCCAAGCTTGAAATCTAATATTGTATATACTCCTTTGACTTCCGAATTTTGCCATAAGAAGTTATGCCTTGAGAGACCCCTGGTCCATGAAGAATGAGGGACACAGAGATCAAAAGAGGACAAGAAGACTGGAGATGTATCTCAGTGGTAGAACACTTGTCTAATGTGTATAATAGCCTGGATTTGATCCCCCGGAGGGAACAAAACTAGACCGGATCCTCAGCTTGCTTCCAAGCTCAGCTAGAACCAGTTTGCATGAGCTGAGCTTCTACTGTCTTGCTGACCTTCAAGAAGCAAATAACTGCTTAGACTTTGTTGTATAGGGCCTACATATACCCACACAATACGAATGTATCTAATTGGAGTTGGGGGCTGTGTAGCTCAGTGGTAGAGCACTTGCCCAGCAATTGTGAGGCCCTGGGTTAAGTCCCAACTGTTAAAAAAATCTATTTAAAACATTATCTTAAAAAATCATCTATATGTACAGTAATAAGAGACGAGAAAGAGCAGAATAAACATCACTGCACATACAAGAGTGAGTGATATTTCTAAACGTGTAGGCTACAATAAGGAGACTATTACAGCCTCACCGGAATCCTGTGGCCAGTGGTAAGGACTTCTCACAGATACTATGCAATTTTCCTCTGTGTTCTTCCCAAGAAGACTCATACAACTGTATTTTCAAATTATGATTAAAATAAAAAGTAAAATCAGATACATGCAAATAAAAAATGGATTCTATAACTAGAATGCACCCATCTGTGTTACGCCATGGTCCTATATAATTTATCCAATCCCTCTCCTAATGTTTTGAATAGTAAAGCTATTTGAAATATTTTGCATGTATGAATGGCACTAAACATTTTTTAGCCATATTATGATTTAACCATTATATCATTCTGTGTGTATGTGTGTATATGTATGTGGTGAGTGGCTTATGCCACATGTTTGTGAATCATCACACACCCATGTGGAGTCCAGAAAATACTGCTACCCCTCTCTACCTTATTTTTTTGAGACAGAATCTCTCATGGAAGCTTAAGCTCATCTTTTGGCTAGGCTGGCTGGCCCATGAACTCCAAGGATCTGTCTGTCCCACACTGGACTTCTAAGTACACACAGTCATGCTCAGTTTTCACATGGGCATTGAGGATTCGAACCCAGATCCTCTTGCGTGCATAGCACGGTCTCTTACCCAGTGAGCCAATACCCTTACCAGTCTGTCTTTCTAGGCATGATCTTTACTGATTTTGATGACTGTGGATCTTCAGTCTTCACACTCATCAGAAGGCAGACATGCATCCAAATCCTTTCAAACTGTTTAAGAGAAAATATTGGAATTTTATGTCCTGCACAAATCAGAACTAAGCACTAATCCACTAAATGTAAAAATACCAAAGTATAGAAGTCTTTTCCAATACCAAAGTATAGAAGTCTTTGCCTCATGATCTATAATTAGCCATCATTAAATAAGTAGCAGAGCTGGGCATAGTGGTAGATACCTCTAATTGCAGCAGTTAGGAGGCAGAGGCAGGTGGATTTTTATGAGTTCAAGACTAGCCTGGTCTACATAGTGAGCACAAAACCAACCAAATAAACACATACCCTCTCCCTCAAATCAATGAATAGTAATAATAAAAAGGAGACATCCAACTCATACGGCTTAAAGCAGTATGTTCCATGATGGATGACGTGATGTCTGTTTTTGGTAGCTATGCTAAAGCAGCTGCTAGCCTCTTGTGGTTACTGACCACCTGAAATGCCCAGTGAGGGAGAAGCTCATTGGCTCTTTTATTTTATTTATTTTGGGTTGATTTTTATTATTAATTAATTGATTATTTTCTCATATATGACCTCCTGACTGCAGTATCCTCTCCCTCCACTATTCCCAGTCCCTTCCACCAATCCTCTTTCCCCCAGATCCACTCCTCCTTTGTTTCCTTTCAGAAAAGAGCTGGCCTCCTGGGGGATATCAGTCAAACCTGGCAGAAAAATTTACAATAAGACTAAGCACATGCCCTCTTATCAAGGCTGGGCAAGGCAATCCAGTAGGAAGAAAGGGGTCTCAAGAGCAGGCAAAAGAGTCATCTCCACTCCCACTGTTAGGTGTCCCACAAGAACACCAAGTTACACAACCATAACACATCTGCAGAAGACGAAGCTGAGACCCATACAGGCACCCTGATTGTCACTTTGGTCCCTGTGAGTCACTATGAGCCCTGCTCAGTTGATTCTGTGGTATCCACAGTTCCTCTTCCTCCTACAGTCCTTGCTCCCCTTCTTCTGCAGGGTTTCCAGAGCTTCGCGAAGACTCCTAGTAATGGGGGATATGGAGCCTGAACTGGTCATCTTCTGTAGCCAGGCAAGGCTTCTAGTGGTGGGACAGGACATCAACCTAGCTGGCCACAGAACTCTGACCTACAATCTATCCTGCATGCAAGACGTTCTGGGAGTAATGGTAGTACAGAACTTGTTGGGGTAGCCAGCCAAGGACTGGTCCAACTTGAGGCCCACACCATGAGAGTGAGCCCATGCTTGACACTGCCTGGATGGCCAAGAACCAGAGACCTGGAATAGAACCAAACACAAATGGCCCGCCAAAAGAGTCAATGAAATGATTCCTAATGATGCTCTGCCAGCTCATAGATGAGGCTAGCCCAATCATCATCAGAGAGGCTTCACCCACAACTGATGGGAGCAGATGCGAAAACCCACAGCCAAACACTAGGCAGAACTTGGGGCTACTTTTTTATTATAAACAGCACAGATGTCCATATTTAGTGCCTAAGAGCGTTATAGATTAAACTTGAGTATCTAACAGTGATTGCTGTGTTTTGAATGTGAAAGACCTTCCAGGCTCACTCAGGGCAATTTGAACCATGTCTGATTGACTTCTGGTAGTAAAAGAAGGCTTCAGGTTTTCCTGAACAGTCCTTCTTGCTCTGGGTTAGGGGTTACCAGGGAGACAGCTGGATCAGAAAGGTTCTTAAAAGAAAGGTATAGGGTTGGAGTTGGGACAAAGTTCACTTAGAGGGTGTGCAACAGATAGAAACAAGAACCTGTGGGCCTAGGTGACCGGACACTTTCAGACTTGTGTCATTTGTAGGGGCTCTGCAGGGGCACAGAGTTCCCTGGAAGCTTAGGACAGACACTGAGATCGCTGTTCAGTCAGCCAATCTCTTCACTGTGACTTTCATCACCTTATCTTTCAAAGGTGCAAGGACTATCATGACTGCATCCTGCCCTCTCTCAAGTATTAGAGAACACTTAGCTTGCGTTCATCGACTTGAGTTAATTCAGACAGAAACTAGAGAAATTAACAATAAACTAACCAACCAACCCACTAAACATTTATATTGGAATGTACCCTTCACATGAATATTTAGTGTGTGTGTGTGTGTGTGTGTGTGTGTGTGTGTGTGTGTGGTGTGTGTGTGTGTGTGTGTGGTGTGTGTGTGTGTGGTGTGTGTGTGTGTG